AAAAAAAAAAAAAAAAACCAAGCGTCGAAGACTACACTACACTAAGTGCAACAGTGAAATGACATTTTTGCCAAAGATAGAATAACAGCGGCAGGGTAGGTGAAGGGACATTGTCGAGAATTCAAGCTTCTCCACGACTAAACTAATTAACAAGAATGGAGCGCACTCAAATCACCTCACTTTCTCTCCCCAATTTCCACAACAAGAGCGCCACATAAACCATATATCCGCGTCGATATTTCATTTAAAATTATCCCACTAGTGGAAGTGCTAGTAATAGTACACTCTCCATTTTCGTTATTTTTTCTTGTGAATATGGAAAATCTCTATATAAACCCCATACACATTTCCCCAATTTGTCCCACAACAAATTAATTCAAGATATATATATCTATATATACATACGATGGAAGCAATTTCAGTGAAATGTGTGTGTATACTATTGATCACAATCATTTATGGTGTGAGCAGTGCGTACGGGGACAAGGGACCGTGCCCCAATTCGTCTCCGGAGAATGAGGCCCTGAAGCTGGCTCCGTGCTCAGACGCTGCCCAGAACCCCAACGCCACAGTCCCGCCACAATGCTGCAACGCCGTGAAGAAGATGCTTCAAAACCAGGCGTGCATGTGCGCAATCATTCAGACGGCACAGAAGTATGGCTTCGATGTTCAGACTGCCTTGACTATTCCCAAACGCTGTAACATTTCTGAAAAAGAGCGCCACGCGGGCGGTAACTGTGCTGGTCAGTCACTGCTTTTTTGCCTTCTTCCACTAACTGTCTTCACATATATAATTGTACCTCTATTAATTTACCCAAATTTATCATGAAAAAAAAAATACTCCATCACCCATACGTACCCATGTTAGTGTACCAAATTTGATGACAATTTTTTGGTCCATTAATTTGGTACGATAATGGATTTTTATTTATTTATTTATTTATTTATTTATTTATTTATTATTATTTATTTTTTTTTACCTCTTCTTTGTTAAATAATAAAAGTAAAATATAAACAATAATATTAGATAGGTAATTATATATGAATTGTACCACTGAGTGAATTGTTTGATCGATCATTTGCAGGTTACACAGTACCTTGAAATTAGATCAATGGAAGCATGTTGATGGATGGACGTACGTACGGTCACAAGATATAATATCGTCGCGTTTATGAAGATTGTGTGTGTGTGTGTGTGTGTGTGTGTGTGTGAGTGTGTGTGTGTTTCTTTCACTTGGAATTGGGAGTCGTGTGAGCGGGGTTGTACTCGTGTATATATCCCGGGCTAGTTATGTGACTATAACCCCCATGAATAAATAAAAGTCATTATACGTGACAATTCCCCACCATTTTATCTTCTCATACTTTTTGTTCATCGATACATGGGGATAACAAGTTGGAGCATTTATATGAGCACAAATTATATATGGGTTTGTTCAAATAAAAACTAGTCCTGTTGTGAAAACCGGTTTGATGATATTTTTAATTGTGTATGATGCTATTTTTCATATTAGATGATGCTATCATCTTTACAAATGCTAACAGAAATTGTGTAGCTATTTTTAATAAAATTCAACTTGGTTAAAAATAGCACCAAAGACAATCAATCATAGCACTACGCACAATTAAAAATAGCGGTTCTCAAGGTTCTCACATTAAGACTTGGTTCTCATTTGAACCACATCCTATATATATATATTGAATATAGGGAAAGAGGAAAGATTATCATATGGGAGAAGGCTAAAGTGTTAGATTTATTTGAGATTAAATATGTGTAATTGTACATTGGGTCATTATATTTTGTAGTCAAATAAAGTGATTAAATTATTGAACATTGACTAAGGAACTTAATTTAGATTGCGGAATGATTAAATGTGGACACTCGATAATTTGGTGACGCGACAAATGTATGATAATATTAAATTTAAGGACCTAAATAACAAATAATTTAAACATTTTTTTAGGTTCTTTTTATAAAGAGTACAACCCCGCTCACACGACTCCCATATAAATGTGGACACTCCCATGAATGTGGACACTTCTATAAATGTGTTTCTTTCTAATTTAAACATTTTTTCGAGTACACTCGTCGCGTTTATGAAGAGTGTGTGTGTGTGTGTGTGTGTGAGTGTGTGT